GAACTTCTTCTTCAAGGGCTTTCTGTCGGTCAGGACCGAGTTTGCGTCGTTTTTGGACCACCGGTTTAATTGTGGGATCCAAATTAAGTCGATGGGAAGCGATCTTGGGATCTATTCCTTTCATATCTTCGTGTTTCCAGGCAAATACATCGGAATTGGCTTTGAGGAATTGAATGAGCCGAGTTCGTATTGGTTCTTGAAGATTGGCACCAATTTGCACCGACTTATGACAAACAGGATCATCTATAAATATTACCTCGACCTCCTCTGATGGTTCAGCTCGTTCAAGTTTGCTTTTCTCCTTAAATTGAATTCGAGGATCAAGTGCATCTTCTTCTTTAATTAGCTCTTTTCCAGGACGTTCTCCACGATCACAAATCAGATCGTTATTTGATTTCGCTGGATCAAGTTCCATCTCGGTATTGTATGATTCCGAGTTAATGAGTGTTGAATCTTCTTGGCTTTCTTCAATATCCTCCATCATATGTACGAGCATACATGGTTCATGCCAAGGTTTGACCTAAACCATTCCGCGAGCTTCGTATTGATCTCCGTAGTGAGTTCCTTCCCCATTATTGGTGGGAAATTTCAAAGCATAATGAAATATTGATACAGCTGCACGAAGCTTATATAAAGCAGTCCTCCCAATGATGGCATTATATTGATTTTTAAGATCCATCACCTTGAATGTCTCCATAATAACTTTAGAAGCTTGTCCAGGAATTCCGAACCGAATTGGCATAGTAATTTCACCAAGGGTTGATGTTATTGTTCCATTAAAACCTTGTACTTGATCCTTACAGGGTTTCAACTCGGCTGGATCAATTCCCATTTGTTCAAATGTACGTAACATCATGATACTTGAATATGCTCCGGTGTCCACTAACATGCGGTGTATCGGTATTCCACAAATGGGTGCCGTAATTATCAAGGGATCAGCATGAGGGTGAGCAAAGTAACTAGCATCGTCAACATTAAATGTTATTGGACAATTGTTTCGGGCATTAATTTTATCTCGGAGGTCGGTCGTCAAAACAGTTTTGCCCGAGTTAAAAGCTTTTCGAGCATACGCTTTCATTTGCCTCCGTGATTCAGACATTGCATTGCTGCTGTTATTGACTCGAGGTATATGATGTGAATTGTCTGGATTATAATATCCTCCTCGACACATCATTTCGGTCGAATCTCTTTCTCTTTGATTCATCATGTATATTTCTTTCTCACTTGATCTCACCCATTTTGGATTAATTGGACGTTCTTCATCGTCTTCATCGTCTGGCAAATCAGGCATTCTTCCTTTTCGTTTGTAATCAACATTCTTGGCAAATTTTTGGACTTGAGGATGTCCAATAAGTCGCAGCAAGGCAGAAAGTAAACCGAGGCATTCATCAGTATTATGTCCTGCCGACTTATGGTATGAACAATATCTCGTTTTGTCAAGTTTTTCTTCGGGAGTTCTAACAGGTCGTGGGTCAGGAAGGATCCCTTTCCCTTTTAACTCTTCAAATATAGTTGCTGCTCCCGCCGAGAATACTGTTTGGTAGCTTGATTTGACTTCATTAAGGTATTTAGTTCTGGCTTCTTGCACTTCAGGGATCTTTGGATTCCCAAATCGAGACTTATTTGGTTTGAAGAATTTATTTTTCTTCTTTTTCGACTCTTGCCCGACTTCCGACTTCAACGAGGAAAAGTCGATATTAGGAACCGACATTGATTCTTCAGCTAAAATATGCTGTTGAGCCCGGGCTAGAAAGTCTTGAAATGAAGTCGGTTTATTCTGACATATACTCCATCGGAACAACGAGTTTGGCTTCAATCCGGCTATGGCTGTGACCAATAGCGTTTCAGGATGACATTGCTCCATATTTTGTATGCGTTCGTTGAACCGAGTAATATAATCTTTCACACTTTCATCATCCTTTTGTACAATATTTGCGATTGACTCTTTGGGAATTAAAGATACTCGGGCCCCGATAAAATGAGAGCGAAAAGCCGTTCTCAACTGCTGCCATGTGGAGATTGAATACCGAGATAGAGAATGATACCATTTTTGAGCTCGTGGTCCCAGAGTTAAGGAAAACATCCGACATCTGAGTGCTTCATTCGCTCCATGAAGATCCATCCAAGATGTGTATTGACCAAGATGAGCATCAGGATCGGAAGTTCCATCATATAAGCCGATTTGCGGAACTTTCACTTTAGTCGGGATTGGCTCTTTAGTTAAATGAGGGGCTAAAGGAGTTCCAACCTCTTGATACGTCTCTTCTATCATTGGAGTTCGTCGTGGTGGTTCTCCATGTTCATCTTGGCAAGTCTCCAGTTCAGCAATTCTTTTTCTCAACATTTCTAACTCTTCTGATTCGCGTCTCTGGCGATTTCTTTCAATTAAACGACGCAACTCATTTTGTCGACGGCGAGTATGGTTTTGTTCGAGTGTATGTCGTAAATCAGAAGGTTGATCATGTCGTGATATTTCTGGTAACGACGGGGTAGGCTGTCGTGGTCGATGTCCAGAATGGCTTTCTGCAGTTGCTTCTAATCGCACTGGTTCTGGAACTCGAGTTTGTACTGGAACTACCCCACGATTTTGAGTTGTAGTATCATGTTGTGATTCATGTGTACGTGGATGGGAAGTTGCATGTGATGTTGCAGGGATATTATTTCTTCGTGGAACTGGGGTTGAGTGAGTTTGAGGATTAACCGCCGTGGTTGATTCTATTCTTGTTCGTGCCATAAAATCAGTTAAATTTTTCAAGAACTCTGGATCTTGAAATAAAGCTGAATAATCAATTGACGTAGATGGCACGGCAGAAGTTCCCGTTGTGTGAGTGGGATGACGATTGATTCCAGCATCTGGATACGTTCGTTTCGTCCAGAATTCGACATCTTTTTCGTATGTTATTACAAGACGAACAATCAAAACGGAGGTTCAACCCTTTCTCTAGCGCCAAACTGTTGTTGTCTTGAATTAACAACTTTAAATTAAACACAGTTGATGTATAGAAAATGAGGATAAATGTTTAATTGGATTTTATTGATAATGTTCACAAGAGTACAGAAGTCGGTTTTAGGCTGAAAACCGAGATCATCTTATGTTCGTGTACAATGTGTTCGGAAAGATCCTCGTACTATCATAAATTCTGCTATTTATAGTACGGTGGCTTTTGTCTTCTAGCTCAAAATGGATAAAGATGCATTTAATGTTGAGCTGCTTCGCTTGAGGCGGCGGGAAACATCAATGATTGCCTTTTCGTTTCGTTGGTCCAATCAGATGCTTCTAATGATTACTTTTCTGTTGGAATATCCAAACTTTGTAATAGTCGGTTGACCTGAAATCGGTTTACTTGTGTTGGCTTCGGATGTCGGTTTCGGTTCTTTTAAAAGTCGGTAATTCTCCAGAAGTCGGTAATTTGTTCCAATACATACCGACTTGTAGTGAGTTTACTTTCTTACGAATTTATTTCTTCAGTAACACAATTAATTTCCATCTTCAATCTCTGTTACTGGATTTGATATCAACAGTGACTGGATTTGATATCAACAATGCTATTTTCAGACTTAAATAATTTTACCCGGTTCGCCAGTACGAACGGGTCCAGACTAATATGCATGATTCGTAAAAATATAAACCTGAATTCTTTAAGTCTAAACCAGTTGTTAGACCTAGGTTAAAGAAACGGGTTTTTAAGCAGAAAAGTCCTTAGCAGCATCCCGAGATAGTTTGCAAATGATTTCGAAAAATTTATAAGCGTTTTCGAAAGAGTTAAAATTTGCGAAAAATTGGCCCTAGTTAGCGGGGTGTTGCAACTACGGAGAATAATGGAGATGAATAAGTGTCGACATAAACAAATGAATAGCGCTATATAAATAATATTGTCGAAAATGAAATCAGCTGAAATGTGAATATTGGAAATTATTGGCAATAAGACCATTGAAATCAATTGATGATGAGAATGAGTTTAAGAATAAAAATTGCACAAAGCATGATATGACATATTGTCGTGAATACCATCAGTATCTACAAATCCGACAGAATTTATATGATACTCATGCAAATTATGGGAAGATTATTATGGTGAATATATGAAATACGCGTTGTACTCTTTTTCCCTTGGCTGAGGTTTTGTCCCATTGGGTTTTCCTAGCAAGGTTTTTAATGAGGCAACAAGGATAGCATATTCACATGAATAGTGTACTCTTTTTCCTTCATTAGGATTTTGTCCCACTGGGTTTTTCATAATAAGGTTTTAACGAGGCATATTCATGGTATCATGAGCACTATTGGATAAATGATATGATTCCTCACGGTGATAAGAGAGACTGGAGTAGCTGTACTCTTTTTCCTTCGATCAAGTTTTTTCCCACTGGGTTTTCTTGACAAGGTTTTAACAAGGCAGCACACATGGATACTCCACTAAAGATGATCTATTTGAGGGGGAGCAAAGTTATGCTTCCACGATGATCAGGTTTTGTCCCACCGAGTTTTCCTGACGAAACAATGTTATGATTTCACGATGATCAGGTTTTATCACCGGGTTTTCCTGACATGTTGAAGCAACGGTACCTGATGGCCACAAGATACACTTGAAGATGTACAGATTGGGCTTTATTCAAATTAGTTAAAATATGTTTAGAAAATAGTCATTCAAGGGGGAGTGTTATGAAATAATAAAATAATGTATGTGAATGACTATTTTGCCCTCGATGTATTTGTATTATTACGAGTTGTGCCATCAGAAGTTCCTATAAATAGGACCTTCAATTATAATGAAAATTGTACCTAAAAGAATACATTTTCTCTATTCTCTCTCTTTCTCTCTAGTTTTATAACAAAAATAAATAACTTCGCTTACATTTTTTTTGGCGCAACTAACCCTTTTTCCCATTTCCCCCAAATTTGAATTTCATACCGACTCTCTCTGCCCACTCTCACTTCCATCTCTATCCTCTCATAAGCAAACACACGCACTGTTTCAGATTTGGGAACGCTGAAAGCATGAATGACTACCATATTTGGTGGCCATCGGCCGCGGCAAGTACTCAGTGAGTTTAGTCCAATTTTCATGCCGCCTGCTACAATTTTTCCATGTCTTATGTGCTTTTTTCGTTTGTTAACTGCGTCTTTGCGAATTTACCGTTGATGGCAGACTGTATACAAGGTGAGAAAGAAGAAGACGATTGAGTATTACGCAATTAAGAGCGTTGATAAATCTCACAGGAGCAAGGTTCTTCATGAAGTAAGCACCTGCTATATATCTTTGTTGTATATGCGATTTAGCTATGAAATTCAACCTGTTAAATAGATTCTTAGCGCTTGGCTGAACATTTTTTCTTTGCTTATTTGTTGATATTGAAGCTATGGTGTTTTTTAGCTCTAATTGATGGTGAGTCATAATGTATCACGTTGCCTGGAGCAATAAAAGATCTTTTACTATGACGAATCTGCAAGTAATCTTATTATAGCATATAGACACATCGTTATCAGATCTTCGATCGCAATGCAGTGGTGTTGGTTCCGATTCTACAAAGGTAGAATGCTGGTCGAAGGTCCAATACAAGTAGATAGCAGGTGTCTTCGTTTTGGCTCCCTTCGCCAAGGTTTTCACATCCAATTTTTGAAACAATTCCAATCCAGTCTTTGTTTCCACCTAAAAATGTTAGTGTTTCTATGTAGCATTCACAGAGCTGCAAATACAGGCTGCACCTGGTTGCATAGGGTGCCAATATTTTTATTTAGAGGAGAACGCTTGTAATGTGATATATCAGATTGTTTCAATCTTCTATGTTTTCAAGTATTAGTGCAAACGATTTTTGGCGGAATTCTAGTTGAGGAATCACTCTACTTAAAAATTGAGATGTCGCAAAACTTGTACATACATGTTTATGCAACTTTGGCCCAAGTTTTGCATAATTAATTATTCATATCTCTGGCTGTATTTTATTTAAAGGTTAAAATTCTTCACGCCCTGGATAACTCTAACGTGCTAAAGTTCTACACATGGTAAGATTACTGACAGATGAAGATGTACAATTTTTATTCTACTTGGCAGTTGTACTTGTGATCATTACTATAGGGCTATTCATATTTACTTGTTTTTATCGTCAATCGACATTGTAGGTACGAAACATCAACTCATTTTTGCTTAATTTTGGAGTACTGTGACGGAGGAGATCTAATGACTGTATTACAAGAGGTAATTGATTGATTGACTTTGTTTTGCTTCATCAGCTATAGTGGTGGTTATCCTAGATGTTTTAGTAGCACACCAATATGCGTTATATGTTGGAATAGGATCCATATTTCTGTGTAAGTTTGTTCATAATTCCGTAAAACAAGTTCACTGGAATATACAAAAGAAGAAAGGACTTGGTGGATATTAGCCAGGCTGGTTTTAGACTTTAGTAGGCATCTTGGTGGAAGCTGCCTAAGATTCAGCAAGCCAGTCTTATCCTTGGTAATAGTAGTTCGCAAGCTTGCTAAACTTAATCAAATAGTTCCGTGGTGATTGATTATCTGTGTTTCTACTATAATATCCGAAATATATCAGTAGTGAAGTATTCTGCATGTGCTGCAATGAAGCTTGACTTTACACTGTACTTTTTTTGAATAAGTAACCACACAACAGATTGTTAGGGATAAACTTAAGCCCTTATGTTTTAATGTGCTCGACTTTTGGTGAATAATTTCAGTTTGATAGCTTGCTTGTATATAGTATGACTGCTAATCAATTCAATTTGTATAACTTGTTACTGCTTCTCATGGATTTTTAATATGCCTTTACTGTCTGAATGATAGGATGGTAAGCTTCAGGAAGATTCTGTACATGATCTGGCTCATGACCTTGTTAAAGCTCTTCAGTAAGCATAAGAGTTGTGATTGACTTCCTTTTTTGGTGATTGGAACTGTTACTCTAATTATTAATGGCCTCCTAAACAGGTACTTGCATGCAAAGGGAATTCACTGTGATTTAAAGCCATCAAACATTTTGCTTGATGGAATAGGACATGCAAAGGTATAGTGTTCTTCCTCCCCCACATTGATCATTTCTTGTATTAAAATCTGAGAAAAAGGTTCTCATTTTGTGTCCTACTGCAGCTATGCGACTTTGGACTAGCAAGAAAACTAACTGATATATCCATGACATCATCTTCCCTTTTACATTAGTCTTAGTATTCTGTAAAATTCTTCTACTTACTCTTACACTTCATGCCTAGTTACCACAAGCAAAACATGGAACTCCCTGTTACATGGCTCCAGAATTGTTCCAAGATGGATGAATTCATTCGTATGCGTCTGATCCTGGGCTCTCGGTTGTGTTCTGTATGAGTGCTACACTGGCAGGCCTCCATTTGTTGACCAGGAATTCACTCATTTGGCAAAATTAATTCTCTCAGGCGCGACTCCTGCTCTACCTGGAACTCCAACTCCTCCATTTGTAAATCTTGTAAATTCTCTCTTGGTAAAAGACCCATCTGAAAGAATACAGTGGCCTGAACTTTGCAATCATGCTTTCTGGAAAACCAAAATTGTGCCGTTGACATTACCTCCTCAGCCTGCTTTCACTAACACGATTGAGATGCTTTCTGAACCACATCTTACTGAGACACCTATACATGATGATTCAAAACCACATGAACAATCAGTCACTCCTCCTAGTGCTTGTCCACAATTGAAGACTCCAAGGTACAAAGAAGTTTCTAGGCGAGCCCTCGACTTTGATGCAACAAAATCATCTTCAGATCTCTCAGATGTGCTATGGCATCCATCTGATCTCTCGGTTAGGCCAATAATGCCGAGCAGAAAATTTGAGAAAGGATCAGACGCAGTTCCTTCCCTCCCATTCCACACCTTTCCCCAACTTGATTTTGCAAAATTGCCCAAGGATAGATTGGATGCTATATACAATAGAATTGTGAGTATCATGAACGGGAACATTAATGGCGACAACCAGAATGTGATTAGGTACCTTGAGATGTTAAGAACTAATGCTGATGCTGCCAATATTTTGACCAATTGGCCAATAATGCTACTTCTCGTCAAAATGCTGAGGCAGTATAAGGCTTTGGCTCTGCGTGTGCAGCTATCTTCACTTATAGGACTGTTAATTCGCCATTCAACTTTCATCGGTGATAATTTGGCAAATTCTGATATTTTAGGTGCTCTAACTGATGGCCTCAAGAGACAGACAGGAAAAAGTAAGAAGGTTTTCTATGGCTGCTATGGGTGAGTTGATCTCTTACATATCTACTCTAAGTGATCCTCAGGAGTCTCCATCTAAAGACAGCCGACCCTCTTCCAGCTGGCAGGTGAGCTTTTTTCATCATAGCCATGGTATCTGGAACAAGTTACCTAGAACTATGATTCTGTATAATTTCTTGCTTTGCCTGATCGTATGGTTAAAGTTATCGCCTTTACTATGTTTTATGCTTGCATTCATTATATTTGTCATGATGCAGTCTCAAAAGCTAGTTTCTCTACCTTTTGTCAGGTCCCTAATACATTAATCTCTTTGATCTCATCCGTATTACGGAGAAGGGAGGATGATCTCACCAAGCTTTATGCTTTAAGAACAATAGAGAACGTATCTAGTCATGGAGGATATTTGGCCACCCGTTTTACAAGCCAAGGCGTAATTAGCAACCTCTGTTACATATTCAGGGCTACAGGAAAACAAGAGTCCATACGACTTACTGCTGGGTCATGCTTGGTTCGTCTGGCTCGTTTTAACCCACCTAGCATGCAACAGGTTATCAAGAAACTTCTGCTCAAGAAAATTGCCTCATGTCTTTTTACGGGAAACCAACAAGAGCAGTAAATCTGCTTGAACCTTGTAAACATGGCTCTTCATGCGAACAAATTGCTGACAATTGTCGGGCCTCACCTTCTTCCAGTAATTGAAGATAATAATCTTGTTTCGAGTCTACTGTCTCTTATCGAGCAGGGTAGTGAGGTCCTGAAGGGAAAGGCTCTCCTCTTTGTGGCCTTACTAAGTAAAAATCTGGAAAGATGTCCCTCTCAATTCTTTTGCAATAGAAAATTCTTGTCGGCGGTGGATAGTCTTGCAAAAGATAAAGATCAATATGTGCAGCATTGTTTGGCTGCATTTGTTCATGCTGTGGTGTCAACTTCACGTCTTGTGGTTCACCTTCTTTTAGTGAACTCTTCATTCAAGAAATCGGTAATGCCTCCTGAGGTTCTACAGCTGGTGGCTAATCTTCTTAAATTGGCAGAGTTGCCTTTCCAGGTATATATCTGGAAAGTCGTGCCTGCTATCTTGCTGTGCTTATAAACTTCTCCGGGTTACTATAGAATATTGTTTATAACTTGTTGCTGTTACTGTTGGATTTTTTGTTTCTTTTTTTGATAACAGAAGAACAGATTATGAGAACTCAAATTTAATTTGTCAATTACCCAAGCTCAATCATATCCGACAATAGTCATGAGAATCCAAACGTGGATTTTAGGAAAATTACAGCTCTGTATCATTACTTTCAAGTTTTTTAGGCCTATATCGTTTTGTCTTGGCGTGCTTGAGAGCTGAGATCATTTATCGATGAATTTACTACAGTATACATTACTTTTTAAAGTAAATGGATCTCATTTCCTGTTAATCTAAATAAACTCTTCTAAATTTTATATTCTGGACGATTTTCAGCTGTACATTACCTTTCATAGCATAAAAAATATGAATAATGACATAAGAAGGGATTTCCTTGCTATTGATGATTTGCATTCAGCTCCAACACTCATCTCAGATTTTTCTTCCTTGGAAAGGAAGACCATGCTTGTTGTTTCCAAATCTTTGATTAAATTATACAATGTACCTCCTCAAGTAAAGTATTCAGTTTTAAAATGTTTGATGCATCCACACATTGAAAGAATCATTTAATTATTAAAGATTGTCTTGGCTTTATCAACAAATGTGGTTTTACCATAACTTAATGATAATACCCAACCAGAACTGATTGCTTATTGCTTTCTACTTTATTTTTGGATTTTAGGGTAGTGATGATTTCCAGATAGACCTTATGCGCATATTGGACTCAGTCTCAACGGAAGTCGACAATAATCCCACCATCTTCATTCACCAAGTCCTGCATAGTGTTACTGCTCTTTACAAGGGAAACAAAGATGCAGATGCTCGATTTCTGTGCTTTAAAATTTTATTCGACATCATGGTTCATTTCTTGATTCGGTTACTGACTGAGCCCTTAGAAGATGAGCAAAGGCTGCAAGATTTAAAAACAGTTTCAAATGTAAATTTTCTCCCTCTCTACCCTTCTTTTATGGAAGATGAAGACCCAATTCCCATGCGGCTCAGAAACTGCTTGGAATGCTCATCGAGTCTGATTACATCAAAATCTCAGAGGTAAATGATTACATCAAAAACTACTAATTGTAAATGATGGCTCTATGGAAATCTCTTCTGATCTGGGCATAAAAGATATCCCCGACTTTGGCGCCACTGTTGGTGTTTTTCTGGAACTCTGTAAATCGAGCGAAGTTAAAGAAAAAGAAAAAAGACAGTTCTTTCTCCTTTTTTATTTTTTTTTTATTTTTTTATTTTTATTTTTTTAACTTCACACCAATTGGAAATTGAAGTTAAGTCTGTCTCACCCTATTTTTGCTAATAATTTTTGCAGGTAAGACTTCCAACTTATACCAACAACTTAATGAGAAAATAAACTCTAACATTAAAGTGATTAAGGGTNAATGTGTTATGGTTAGTTGTTAGTGGATTTTTAGTTTATATTAAAATAATATTTAAAATAAAATAATTAAAGTTGATTTGATGTAAAAAATTAGAGAGAGATTATGTGAAGTAATGGTTAGTTAAAATTATGTGAGTATGAATAGTGAATTAAAGTTGATCTGATGTGTAAGAATAATTGGTTTGTATTATATAATTATACTGATAATACTAAGGATAGTGGAGTTGAGTTAAGTTGAGTTAAATTTTGAGTATGAATTGAATGTGGAATGAAATATTTGCTAAACAAGTATGTCCGAAGTGATTAAAGACTATGAAATTTAGTGGATTCAAGTAAAATTAGCAAATTAAACCTCATGTGCAAGTTTGATCCGTCAAATCTGTTTATTAGCATGTTTATTAAATAGCTTACTTAATTCGAATTTTGGCAAAAAAAGAGAAAAAAAAAACGCTAGTTTTAAAAACCCAAATACATATGCATTTTGAAACGAGAGAAATTATAAAATAGCATGCCATCATAAAATTTTCATAATGTCAAGCTATTAGTTACCAAACACATATTTACAATCCACTAATCTATTACTATATAATAAGGCCAAGAATTTTACTTAAAACAGTAATATAATTCTCGTTTAAAAAATTCGTGTTTACTAAATATAGAAATTTTTATTTGAATCTTGAAATTTCAATTGCAATGTTAGTCTCTATAGTTGCGAATTGATATAATTTTTTCCTTTCAAAACATCCAAGTTATAATAACACTCGTCAACTTCTAGCTGTGCATGCACAGTCGGCTCAAATTTAGTCAATAATCAAGTTAAAATTTGGTTAAATTTAACAATCAAGTTTTCAAAGTACAAAAAGAAGAATAAGAAATTATCGCATATGCTTCTAGATGATGTTACTCTAGTAATCTAGCATACTCGCATGTGTATATAAATTGGTCGAGCACACTTCTCTCCCACTTCTCCACCATGTTTTGATCTAGCCTATATATCATAGGCTTCTGTTATGCTAAAGTATTTTCCAGGCTTATGTCATAGTGAAAACATTAGAGAAGTCGACCACACATTATCAAGATGAGAGAATTCATATTGCACTTGCAGATCTCGATTTCATGGATTACAAAACTTGGTACAATGCGGCTGCTATTTTCAAGAAAGGATTCTATCCTTAACTAATACCTAGGTTAAGAGAAGCATCTAGATAAGGGACACATGGCACTCCATAATAGGTTTCACTAAAGAACAAGAGACATTAATAAAAGCTGAAGCTAAAGTTGCAGTAGTCCCGTTTTTGCATGCATGGAGTCTTGTTTGGTCTTGCATGGTGCCATGTCAGTTTCTACGTGGCTAATATCCCCCCTCAATTCGTGCCCGGTGTGAGAAAGGACACCAAGTTTGTTTCAAAAACGGGCAAAGAATTGGCTAGAGAGCGGTTTTGTGAACAGGTCTGCAACTTGTTCCAAGGAAGGAATGTGTTGCACTGTAATGTTGTGTTTTTGAACCTGTTCTCTGACGAAATGAACGTCAATGCCTACATGTTTGGATTTATAGTGAAAAACGGGGTTGTTGGAGAGGTGAATTGCTCCCAAGTTATCTATCCAAATGACTGTAGGTTTTGAGTTGTGTATCCTCAGTTCATTAAGAAGAGATTGAAACCATATAACCTCACAGGTAGCAGAAGCAAGGCTTCTTAGTTCAGCCCCAGTGCTGGATCTTGAAGTGGTAGGTTGTTTCTTTGAACTCCATGCAATAAGATTGTTGCCAAGGTATACAAAATAGCCATTGGTTGACTTTCTGTCATCAACATCTGTGGCCCAATCAGCATCAGCAAAGGCCATGAGATTGGTGTGTGAAGATTGAAAAATGGTGAAGGTATGATCAAGAGACCCTGCTAGATATATGAGAACCCTTTTTAATGCCTTCCAGTGGGGAGTGAGTGGATGTTGCATGTATTGACTTAGCTTGTTGATGCTGTAGGCAATATCAGGCCTTGTGATTGTGGCATACTGTAGAGCACCAATAATGCTCCTATATGCAGTAGGGTTCTCAATGGGCTGTCCATCAAACTTAGAGAGATGAGGATGAGTGATCATTTGGAGATGATGTGTTTTTAGCTTGAGTCATGTGAAACTTTTGTAATAGGGCAGAGATATATTTCTTCTGACTAAAACAAAGTCCAGAAGGCTGCTTAGAAAATTCAATGCCAAGGAAGTAATGTATGTCACCCAAATCTTTCAGAGAGAAAACTGAGCTGAGAGCCTTTATAGTGTTGTGGATTGTAGAGGAACAAGAACCAGTGATGAGTATGTCATCAACATAGACAAGGAAGAAGGTGCTCACAGAACCAAAATGTTTGTAGAATAGAGAGCTATCTGATTTGGAGGTGCTATAGCCAAGAGAGTGAAGTGTGGAGGCCAGTTTGTTGTTCCAAACTCTTGATGCCTGCTTCAAGCCATAGATGGACTTGTGCAGTTTGCAAAAAAGTTTTTTACCTGAAGAGGAAGTGTGCTCATAGCCAGGTGGTTGTTCCATGAAGATGTCCTTGTCAATGTCTCCATATAAGAAAGCATTATCAATGTCAAGTTGCTTAATTGGCCAACAGTGTTGTGTGGCTAAGGATAAGATCACTCTGATGGTGGCGGGTTTTATCACAGGGCTGTATGTTTCATTAAAGTCAATGCCATGTAGTTGGGAGTAGCCCTTTGCCACAAGCCTTGCTTTATGTTTGGAGATGGAGCCATCACTGTTGGTTTTGAGTTTAAAAACCCATTTGCATCCAACTGGTTTTACATTTGGGGGGAGAGAAGCAAGTACCCAAGTGTTGTTTTTATGGAGAGCATGGATTTCTTTGTCCATAGCTAACTTCCAATCTGGGTGACTGAGATCTTGTAAATGTGTTGAGGGTTCAGGTTGTACCTCAGTGAGGAAAATTTTCTTCTTGAATATGCCAACTCTTGATCTTGTTGTCATTGGATGTCTTTGAGGTTGGGTTGTGGAGGTATGGCTGGGAGATGAAGCATGTGCAATTGGTAGGTTGACAAACAATCTGCCACCTTGAATGAGGGTAGGTGACTGAGAAGGTGGAGATTGGCTGGAAGAATGGTTTGAGGATGAAGAATGTTGAGATTGTGGTGGTGAGATGTGTGGCTGAGAATTTTGAGAATGTTGAGAAAGTTAAGGATGTGGAGAGTGTGGTGGGGAGTTATTTGGTGGAGGAGTTGTGTGGTGTGTAGGAATTTGAAATGAGGGTAGAACTGAAAAAGATGGAGTAGGGATTGAGGAATCAATGATGTGAGGGGATTTTGAAAAGGGAAAAATGGTTTCATCAAAGACAACATGTTTGGAGATGATGATTTTTTTGTTGGGAAGGAGGATTTTATAACCTTTATGTGATGGACTGTAGCCAAGAAATGTAGTGGGTTGTGATCTATACTCTAGTTTGTGTTTGTTAAGGGGTCTAGTAAAGGGATAACATAAGCAACCAAATATCCTGAGATAGTTATAGTTTGGCTTTGTTTTTGTCAACATCTCAAATGGTGATAAAAAGTGCATAACTTTGGTGGGGAGTCTATTGATGAGGTGAACTGCAGTAGTGAAAGCATGATCCCAATAAACATATGGCATGCAAGCATTGGCTAAAAGAGAAATTCCTGTTTCAACAATGTGCCTATGTTTTCTTTCAACGAGGACATTTTGTTGGAGTGTGTAAGGGCAAGAAAGTCTGTGCAATATGCCATGTTGCTGGAAAAAAGGTAATAGGGGTTTAAACTCTGTCCCTCCATCACTTTGAATGCATTTGATTGGTTTGTTGAACTGAGTTAGTATCAGTTTGTGGAAGTGATGGAAAACAGAACAACATCAGTTTTGTTTTTGAGAAGGTACATCCAAGTGTGTCTAGTGTGATGATCAACAAAACTTATGTAATAAGAGTAACCACAGTTTGACTTAATGGGGGCAGGTCCCCAAAGGTCAGTGTATATTAATTCAAATGGTTCAGTATGTAAAGAAGTAGAATCATGAAATGGCAATCTGTGGCTTTTAGCCTTGAGACAAGAAGAACAAAGAGCAGTACTGTCATTAGCATTATAGCAAATATGACAAGAGTTTAATGCTTTCTTTACAGTTTCCATAGCAGCATGGCCTAATCTAGAATGCCAGGAATTTAAATCAAGTTTTTTTGAGGTAACAGCAGAACAAACTGTTGGACAAAAAGAAGAATGTAAGCTCTTATTTGTAGGTTCTAAAGGCTGCAAGAGATCACCACTGAGAGTTGACAAATTGAAACAATATAAGCCATCTTAACAATCCCTTGGAGTAGAGTTGCTCCTGATCCTGATCTTTCACAAGGCAAAAAGTGGGGTGAAATTCAAAATAGACATTATTATCCTTTGAGAATTGGCAAACACTGATAAGATTTTTTGCAATTTGAGGAACATAAAGGAGGTTTTTTAGGAGCAGATGTCTTTTATCAGAGTTGCAAGATTGGATCATAGAACTACCAATGTGAGATATGGTCAAACCTGATCCATTATGTGAACTTTTTCTCCTCCAGTGTACTCTGAAGCCATGCTCAAATTTTCCATGTCGTAGGTGAGGTGGTTGGTGGCACATGAGTCTGGAACCATAAGGTGTCTTGGTTTTGATCAAATGATGGCATGCTAGCCATATTAGCTGACTTGTTTTGAGAGGTGTAGGAAGATTGTCCTTGTGATGCAGCATAGGTGTTTCCTTGATTGAAGTTGTTTCTGTTTTCAGGAACAAAATTCATGTCCATTCTATGCCAACACTTATCAGCAGTGTGGTTCATTAAGTGGCATATTTGACATCTTGGTTTGGTATTGAACCTGCCACCTCTGCCTCTGTAAAGTCCTGATCTACCATAACCACTTCTGCCACCTCTAGCATTGAGGCTGTTGTTGTTGCTCCTACCTCTAAAATTGTTGAAGCCACCTCTCTTTGGACCTTAGTTTATTGTGGTGAAATTCACCATTGGACTAGATCCCATCTAATCCTAGCTGAGGCACTTCAAAGGTTTCAAGTCTACTTTCAAAACTCAAAAGAAGTGCATGTAGCTCTCTCAGTCTGCAAGGCTCAATTCTAGCACCAATGGAAACCATGACAGGATTGTATTCACTTCCCAACCCAGCTAGTATGTGTGTGATTTGCTCTTATTTCTGTCCTGCAGCAGCTAGTCCATCACAATAAGCCTTCATTTTGTTTAAGTATTCCATCATACTCATGCCTCCCTTTTTGAGGTTTTGAAGTTGAAGTTTGTATTGCATAACTTTGGCTCGTGACTGACTAGCAAAAGATGTTACCAAACTATCCTAGATCTCAAATGCAGATTCCAAACCAACAGTAGTTATAAGCACACTTTTAGAGAGGGAAGATAATAACCAGGAGACAATGAATTGATCTTGCCTAATCCATAGTGAGTGAGCTGGATTTGGGATTTCATTACCATCAGCGTCTGTGATGTTCAATGGCGGTGGTTCTGCTCCTGTGATGTGGTTTTCCAAGCCATATCCCTTGATGGTTGCTTGTACTTGTTGCCTCCAAACCAAGAAGTTGTTATCAGTGAGCTTGACAGTCACCACTTGAGCTTGCAGCTGTGTGATGGTAGGTTCTGTTGTTGCCATGGATGCAGATCAAGGATGAACAGAGATCGAAAAAATAAAAGATGGATCAGAGGCCACAGATGTTTAACCTGCAGCTCTGATACCATGAAACCATTTGAGAAGTCGACGGCACATTAATTAGAAAACTTGGTACAGTGCGGATCTCGATTTCATGAATTACAAAACTTGGTACAGTGCGGCTGCTATTTTCAAGAAAGGATTCTATCCTTAAATAATACTAGGTTAAGAGAAGCATCTAGATAAGGGACACATGGCACTCTATAATATGTTTCACTAAGCTGGAGCTAAAGTTGTAGTGGTCCCGTTTTTGCATGCATGGAGTCTTGTTTGGTCTTGTATGGTGCCATGTCAGTTTCTACGTGGCTAACACATAGAGGAAATAAACATATATATTTTTGAGTTATATTTGTATGCATAATTGTGCTCATTGAAGTATTGTTTGTTTTCTTCTGCTAAATGAAAAGTGTTGTCATTTGTACTTTTAATTCTTTCTTCTGTCAAATGGAAAGTGTTGTCATTTGTACCGTTTTAGTTCTGGTCGATAATATGAGTCAGGTATAACATTCTTATTTGAGGTGAAATGAAGCTCGAGTGGGATTTTGTGTTTGGGACAAAAAAGACACATAAGATGTCAATTAACGGAACTGCATTATTATATGTTGGACGACACACACAAATATTTTGGATGTTTTGTAGTATATGTAGGTGAGTTGCAAATTTTGAGCCCATTAACGTGTTGCTACTTGTCCCTCCCATTTTTTGTTGTTAATCTTCAAATATTATTTGGAGGGCATTTTGGAATCTAGTAGCTTCAGAACTCAGTCGACTTGAGGTTAACATCAATTGAGAAACATTATAATACGTCCAGTGTTAATGACAAAAATCTGAGTCCACAAAGCACCTGGTCGGTCTCTTATAATACTTGAGCCAAGTGTTAAATGGTGAAGAAAATAACCAAATTGGAAACATTATATTATTTTATGATAATAATAATAATAACAACAATAATTAGCAGGCTCAACGTCAATAACTCTGTAGGCTATACGCCAATAACTCTGTAGGCTCAACGCCACCCCAGTCGATTAGCAGCAACATTTTTTTCTCAGGTAACTCCGTATCAATCTCTAAGATCAATCTCCTCAAGTTCAGCTTGCCTCTTCAGAGCAATTCCCTTCATCCAGCTCGCTTTCAGCTGATCAAGTCTCTCAACTTCCTCTTCAACCTTTCATTTTGAAGGAGAAAAATAGAAAACTGATTCAATCAACTTGACAAATTATTCACCTGAATTAACATTAAGTTTTAAGCATAGAAAATTCATACATGTTCTATGTCCAAAGCAAGAGCCCCAGGAACAGTAACTTCATCCACAGTAACTTCATCTACTGGAGATGAAATATTACATGTTACATGATCAAAGAGGTTGCGCTCCTCTGCCGGTGCATCTACTTATCTTTAGAAAAGCACTGAATTATCACAAGTAATTTTGAACTTTTTCGAAACGAATTAACTTTTAAAACTTTTCTTACGGCACTTGCTTAAAACTCTTTCTTCTTCTAAACTTATTGAAACTGTTTTACTTCTTTTGAATCTTAAGATAAGCTGTCAACTTAAGTTCTTATGGGAATACTGATCCCAACTGCTGTCTTAACTTCTCTTTGCTTAACTGCTACTCTTGCTGCTTACTGCTAACTTTACTTCTTAATTGCTTTCAAAACATACTCATTCATGACTAATTTGAACCTTTAGAAACAACTAAAAGGGTCTCAAAAAAAGTTTCAAAACAAGTTCTAATAGTCAAACTCAAAAGCATGAATTTTAAAAGTCTTAGCAGAAGCATAAACTGAATGATAACAAACGATCACTCTCGTCAATCGTGTCCATCGCCAACTCGCTTAACCGGCAGGGGTAAAAATAAGAGGTGAGAAACACAACTAGCTCAGTGGGGAGACATACTGCGCGATTATTCGCCATAATAACAGATATCATAATTGATGTAGAATGTCATACTAGATCGGTTTTAACCGAGAAACTGGTCGTACGAGGCCAATTGTGCTAGCAAACCGAATATTCGTCACAAGAGGATGAAGTCGATCATTCGGCCTGAAGAATAGATTTATGGACCTATTTAAGAATATACTCAACCTCACAATAATGTGGGTTTGGTTTCATGGTTAGGCCGTCTCACAAGAAAAATTAATGGATAAGAAAAAATATACTAAGAAATAAACATACACATGTGCTAGGACACATGTCATAATGGTATTGCTCAAGCCAAACTTGGGCACAAAGGTACATCTCCCCTATAGACCTATCACAAAAACACATATTTAAACTTTCGAAAGTGTTATAGCACCCTATAATTTAACTTGCGAAAGCCTCTAATTTTCACATGGAATTTTTCACTTTTCAAACAAACATTTAAATTTCTAAGGTGCTATGATGAAAACCTTTCTTAACACTTTGTGGAAAACTATACTTTATAAAACTTTTAACTTAAATTTCTCACTTTGATACTTGTAGGAACTTACTTCCCAAACTGCTATCTCAAACTCAAACTTCTCATCTCAATCTCAAACATGAAACAATACTGAAATTCTCAAATTTGATCAACCATAGCAATGCGTAGTCTCAAATTAATTTTGAATAATCAATCTCAATGCATAAATCTCAAAAGTCAATATGAAAACACAAACTTAATAATTTAGATGACCACGCCGCCTTCCGTGCTTGCCAACTCGCTCAATCTGAAAGGTGAGAAAAAGAGGGGTGAGCAAAACCACGCGCTCAGTGAGGAATAATCTAGCAATTAAACACCTTAATAACATATATCATCACAATTGGGCGCATATCTCAATATATCCATTCACCGTAAGGGATATGTAAATCGAGGCATCAATATATATATTCGGGACATGTGAATCGAGGCATCATAATCAGATCATGTAATCGGGACAATGCATCTCAACAATTGAAACTCAACAATGCGGACGCGCGGCTCTGGGTGCACTAGTATATATGGCCCCCGTCGGCCCATGTAAATATCTTATGGGACACATTAAACATTGTGGCCGCGCGACTCTAATGCACCAAGTATATAATTGGCCCGTGAAAATATACTTGCTCGAAGACCCTTTGCCATAAACCGTCAATTCTTTGCCCCAAGGCACATTTTACCGTTAATTCTTTGCCTGAAGACCATGTGAAGGTCGCCCTGGAGTCCGGTTATCTCCGTGGAAAGGCGGATCAACCGGCCATGAGGAGACACGATCACCATAGATTACCACCTCTTTAAACTCAAAAACTGCAAAAACAGCAAAAGCCCTCTCGGCACCAACAGATCGCGTCGCGCGAGGTCAAGTATCAACTACACCCACTAACTTCAACTTAAACAAAATAACCAAATAACTATTATCAACAATCTCCACACCAGGAAAAATCAAAATCTTCTTTAGAACTAAACGGGAAAAGATGGGTAAGTGGATCTTGTCTCACGACGGAGGGTCAGAGCCGGTACTTGTGAATTGGATGATTAAGACTTCAAAATCTCGGCTTTAGTTCAAGTTTATAAAGTCACTACTTGTTTTGAAGTTTAGTACTACCTCAAATTTTTTTTAAATGTCATTTTGACTTTATCAATTATTAACCAAATAAATGACGTTTTGAATTTTTTGTACATATTTTTTCATTATTACGCTAATAAATACACTACGTCTTTTCATATTCACTCTTTATCTTTTTTCAAAACACTCATCTCTATCTTCGTTAATGAGGGTCATTATTGACAAAAAAAATATTCTTAATTACTGTGCAATTTTTCAAAACGACATTTATTATGAATATGAGGGATTAGTACTTATCTAGAGCGAGAGCAGTAATTAGTATTTTCTTTTATATAGATTATAAATAAAATGTCTTAGTTCAAGTTTATAAAACCAATACTTATTATGTAGTTCACTAGTACTTATCAGACGTGAGAGAAATACTTATTTTGTAGTGTTAATTACTTTTTTATATAGTCATAGAAAAAATAGTTAATTCAGATTTACAAAATTGATACTTGTTCTATAGTTTTTTTTTTTTTTT